TATATATATATATATATATATATATATGTATGTATGTGTGTGTGTGTGTACACACATGATCCAAAACATAAAGAAAAATCTACAATTTAATAGTTCATAAATAAACATATCCAGGTGTTACATGGCCAAGTCAAAGTCCAGGCCGGAATCCAGCTGTTTTGGAAGAAGAATGGGCTAATATTTCAGTCCCCTCGATGTGCAAAAGTATTAGAGACATACCCAAGTGATTTGCAGCAGTAATTGCAGCAAATGGTGGCGATACAAAGTATTAATCCAAGGAGACTGACTAATTTTGCACACCCAGTTTTTCTGTTTTTTGTTGAAAAGTTTGAAATGTCTAAATAAATTTAGTTCCACTTTATGATTGTGTCCAACTTGTAACTGATTCTTCACAAAGAATTACAATATGTATCTTTTTGATGTTTGAAGCCTGAGATGATGCAAAAGGTTGAAAAGTTTAACGGGGGTGCATACTTTTCCAAGGCACTGTATATAAATATATCTCCCTTTATGTGTGGGCTTAGCCATGCTGACTATCACCATTCAGTTTCACCATGAATTCCTGTCAAATTATCATCCATATAATTAGTCCTTCAGCAGGGTAAAATATTACTGCTGCTTGCAAGTTATAAATTTTTCTGAACCAAAACTTATACACATAAAATTATACGCTAAAACAACTCACAGTTCAGGCCTCCTCGCCCACAAGGTAGAGCTACATGAGAGTAGGGTTGACAGCCATTAAATTTCATTTCTTACCTTATTTCTAAGCTTCTGGAGGCCTTGACCATCTGCTCAACTCTAATTGGTGTGTGTTGTGTGAGCCATAGGCAAAGGTATTTTTTATCAGCAGACTGACAAAACAGAAAAGCAAAGAAAAAGAGCAGGAGGAACGAAGTACAACAACAACAAAAACCTCCGTAGTCACAGATTTGTTTAAAGGTGAGCTGCTGCCTTCAGGGGAACAAATAAAGCACCGTTCCTTCAAAGAGTTTTGTTTTCCTTCATAATCGTTTGTTGGAACAACTGAGCACATCATGTTCTGTTTAATATTTTCAGCGTGCATTATTTTAAGGTGTTGACAGGGTGTTTTTTTTCCTACTCTGGAGTAGTCCTTGTGTATATTTCGTGTATTAGGAATTCTTATATCTGTGCAACTGCCTCATTTCATTATAAAGATGTCTGAAAAGACTAGATTTAGAGCTAGAAATAGGCAATAATTTTATTTGAGCTTAAATGTGCTTGACCTTGAAGCTGTCTACCACAGTGTACTCAAAAATTAATATACGTACCAACACCCCCAACTTCTATAAGAGCTTCTAAAATTCACAACTACTAAGTATGTCATTGACGCAGAGTTTCACATTTTAAAGGGAAACCACAGAGACAGCAGAAGACATTCAGATAGGTAAAGAGGAAACATCCTTTTTGCAGAAACTCGATATCAGGCGGAGAAAAAAAGGAAATAAGGGTGAGCTGATGCACAAGTCACTAAATATATATATGTGAGCCCAGAATAGAAATGCACACAACCTCAGAATGGCATGCATCTGGGGAAGTGATAGAACATTAGCTTTGTGCTGAGTGGTCCCTTTTTGCTTCTGCTCTTTTTTTTTTTGTAGGGACTTTTATTCATTTTAGTCCACTCACCCTTCACTAACATTCCACAGTACTTTTTCTCATAACATGAAAAAAGACTCAGCGTTCAGTAAATGAAACCTATTCATATCTAATACAAAAAAAAGAGGTGGATGAATGTTGACCCGTCATTAGATTTTAATTTAGGTCATAGCGGAATTCATTCATCAGCCGCTATTTTCACATTTGACATATGAGTGATAAGAGAACAAACCAAAATTGGTCATAAACTTGGTGATTTTTCAGAAATGACTTTAGAACAGGAAAGTGGATTGTTTGTAAAAGAACCACACTTATATTTTACTACACTAAAGCATACACCTCTCTTAAATTTGGTTATTCTATGTCAAAACACCACACATTTCTAAATATGAGCTAGTATGATAAACTAAGAAAGAGCAGAGTGTAAGTATAAAGAAGAAACACAGCGTTTTTATAAAACTTTATTTATAAATGATCTGAAGATTGTGTTTTATATATTTGTAACCCATCAGAGTCACTCTCTACTGTGAAGCACCCTCATCTAAACCTTTTTATCTTTTCTCTTTTGCAAGCCAATTCAAGCTCAGTCAAATCATACTGAACATCAAATATCGTATCTTGTTAGTGATTGGATATAGTTTTGGAGATAGACTGGCTCATTTTAACACAGGTGCATGTTTCAAGCCAACCTGCAGGAAGGTTTCTTG